TGGAAAAAACATTCGCAAAGTCCACCGATGCTTCGTCAATTACAATACCGAGATGATTGCACTTCGACGCCCAGATGGAACAGTTACAGCGTCCAGAAGGGTAATGAAGAAAAGGGGATGGATATGTTGATTGATGATTGAAATCTTGGTTTGGAGTTTCTTTGTTTGGTTATGGAGGCGTCTGGCCGAGTGAGTTGCTCTCAATTTGACCTTTCCAGGCTCTGAAGAAGGCGAAATCCGCCGAAACGTCAGCTTAATCGTGAACAAAGAATAGTAACACCTCGCGTTTGGTCAGCGGGAATACGGAGAAAATCACTTGATCAATGCCGAGGTTAATAGAAAGTCTGTCGTGGCAGTTACAAAAAATGCCTTCAGCGAATCCATCGCTTTCAGAACTCCAGAATTTTATTGTACATAAAATGGGTGTGTACGTAACAGCTGAGAAATTGCTCTTCCAATAATCTCACGGTCTTCGTCTCCTCCCTGACCAAACCGAGCCCACCATTCCATGCTGCGTCAGAAGACTGGAACTAGACTTGTCTGGAATGAGAAAAACACTGATTTGCTAATCGGCAAGCTACCAGAGGTTTTGTATAAGGGAAATATGTAATTGGTGCCATTAGTGATGTTTAGTACTCGAGTGCATGGTGCACTCACAAGTGATAAATCGTCATCGGGTGTCCTATTCTTTCACTATAATACCTCAACGGCTGGCTATTGTAAAAAATGAACAGCCCAGTTCACAGGCTGCTCTCGTTCTGTTCTATGAAATTTAATTGATCTATCACTTTATTCTTCAAATAGACTGGAGGAGTAGATCTCTTTTACACACTTAAAAAAATCTAGATTTTTCCACTGCAGAGTATGAAATCTTTTGAACTCAAAGTAAAGATCATTAAATCCTAGTGGTCATTGTTTGAGCCAGTAAAGTTCAACTCTTCCATTCGTAAGCTCAGCTGGGGGTAAACGAATAATTCACCACCGCCCTTTTATCATACTAGTCGCATAGTGACAAATCTCTCTCCAACCACGAGGGCTGGAGTGCGCAATGCATGGTGACGACCTGAGAAAGGCTTTAGCTGTACTGACCACGGGACCGCTGGAAAGTCACTATTGTTAGGCAAAATTCCGATAAGTACTGTTCGTGGACAACAACAAAACATGCCATATCATATAAGTCTGTCGGAATTACATGTACCCATTATCCCACCATCAATCGACTTCGAGCAAACGTTTGGTAGCACAAAACCGAATACAATCCTATCAACACTCGTCCACCAAGGAAGCAAAAAGTCCTATATAGGAAATGTAGCAGACTGTCATCGGTATTTCATCACAAAAATACAGTTTTTCACCAATGCTTCACCATGCCCATAGGAAGAGCGCATCGACAAGGTAGCACAATATCGCCAAAGCCGTTTACTGCGGCACTGCAATGGGCAATGGTGTCACTCGATTGCTACGAGTGAGGGCACACGCATTTATTGGAAATTCCTATCAAGTCCTCGCTTCGCGGAAGACATTGTCGTCTCTTCGAGGAATGCCAATGGGCAGCGACGATGCTCAATAAACACAACGAAGTGGGGAGAAAGATTGGTTTACGCATGAAGACGACGAAAACCCAGTTCGTGAAGAACCTATGATACGAAAATGAACATATCGAATTGGATGGCTCTCTGAGTAGAGAACACCTTGCAAGTGTACCTTGGGGCATGGTGGACGTTCAATAAATTCCGCTTTCAGTTTTTTTTTATTAAGCAGTCCTCCTCCTTTCCCCTTTCGCTTTGTTCTGCAGCAGAAATGTGGGCTGATAACTCAGCCTAGTCAAGAAATCCGCACACTGCCTAAAAAGTGCTTGAATGACGCATTCTGAAATATGACTGGCACTCATAACATTTAGCAGGAACGCATAGCATAGATCTTCGAAATCCATCCCAACCGGGAACCACCTATCACCTTTATCACCGTTGAACTTCGAGCGACACGAGCGGGCGCCAGTAAATCTTCTATTTTTTCCTTCCACAGGCCCTATCAAAGTTGGCAAGCATGCATTCCGCCTGGCTAATGTTTGATGTTATAAGGACGATGTAATCAGCAAAGCGAAGATGATGTAACTGTCGACCATCCAATTCCACTCCCATATTATCCCATTCCAATGTTAGTATGACGTTCTCGAAGGTGGCGGTAAATAATTTTGGCGAGATGGCTTCGCTTTGCCTAACCCCTCTTTTGACGTCGATGTTAATAGCGTTGTAGAATGGTGATATCTTGGTTGTGAAATTTTTGTACAGCTCATGAAGGATCTTTATGTACCGAGTAGGGGCTACTTGGCTATCAAGGACTTCGATGACTGCTTCTATTTCAATTGAATCGAAGGCCTTCTGTAAATCGATGAAAGTGAGACAGAGCGGTCTTTTGTACTTTCGCGATACTTCAACGAGCCTTTTCAACGTGTGGATGTGGTCCACCGTACTAAATCCTTTTCGAAACCCTGCTTGCTCACATGGCTATCCTTCGTCCAGTGTCCTGTCAATACTGTTTAGGATGACTCGAGTGAAAAGTTTGTAGACGACAAACAACAAGTAGATTGGGCGATAGTTGCTGCTATCGTGTTGGTCACCATTCTTGAACAATAACACGGTCTTGCTAGTCTTCCACTGAATAGGACCTTGCGCTCAGACAGCCGAGCCAGTGTGTTTACGAGGACTGGCGGAAGGTTCTTCAGGTGTTCTGGTCTTAATCTGTCCGGACCTGGAGCTGTTCGATTTTTCACCGACCAAATGACATGTCGGATTTTGGAAGGGAGAACCAGTGGAACAACATATCCATCCCCTTTTCTTCATTACCCTTCTGGACGCTGTAACTATTCCATCTGGGCGTCGAAGTGCAATCATCTCGGTATTGTAATTGACGAAGCATCGGTGGACTTTGCGAATGTTTTTTCCAGCCTCTGCAGCTTCGGCCATTACTGCTGCTCTTCTCTCTTTAAGATTTTCTTTTCTCGCCTACCTGCATTATTTTGCAAGTTTGGACGTTAATTCGCGGTTACGACTAGCTCATGCGATTCCACGCTGGCGTATCAGGTCGAGTGTTCCTGGAGACAGACGTCTCTTGGTGGCTTTCGAACTCTGAGAATTCATAGCGCTAACGTGAAGATGTTGAATGAACCGGTCGTATTCTTATTCGATGTTATCGATAACGTCATCTTTCCAACAGCCGACTAATGAATTGAATAAGTCCCAGTTTGAGGTGGTTTTGGGGCTTCGGTTTTGGAATGTAGCGGCTTCTTCTCCTTTCCACGAGAAATAGAATCATGCACGAAGTGACGAATATCTGATCTTGCGTAGAATTTTGGGACAACAGCGACATCGGTTAGGTAAAACCTTCTTTCTGGAATTGCAAGTTACCATGGATGTTCTTGGTCGCCATGATAAACTCAGGAAGCAGCTCACCCTGTTCGTTCAATTCCAATCCGTGCGTCCCAATGTGACGTTCTTCAGACATTTTCCTTAGTCCAATATTGGCGTTGACATCTCCAATGGTGACCTTGAAGAATTTGTGGTCCTCTCTGTTGAACTTCTCCAAGTCCATATAGAACGCTTTGACTTCTTCGTCATAGTTTGATGACGGCGCGTAAACGACGAAGATTGTCAAAGCCGGTATTGATCTACATCTTTTTAATCGTAAGCGTCCGATTGGGGTTGTAGGCCGTTCTAATGAATCGATATTCATGGAGAAACTCGTGTTGACGAGAATGCTGACGCCGCCGAATACTCTACTGTTGCATATTCCATGGAGCAATTCTTCTTCGGTGTTATAGACGGCGTTGAATGGGCGGTGTCGTCTCATCTCAGCCAGGTCGATGACGTCGTAACTCGTCTTTCTCGCTTGCACGATCAAGTCTTCTATTGAGGACCCGGATTTACGGATACGTGCGATGTAGGTACGTATTGTCACCTTAGTTCTTCTTGATCTAGGGCAGCTTCCATTGGCGCTGAGACCCCGAGATTCTGAACGTGAGGGCTGGGTATGCTCATGGGTAGCTTGCACACTACCCAAAGAGTCCTTGAATGACGCATTCTGAAATATAGCGGACATTCATAACATCTATCATGAACGCGTAGCTCAGATCATCGAAACCTATCCCAACTTGGGGATAAGGAAGAAAATGCGTCAATAGCGAAACACAAACGGCCCTGTCACGTAAAAGGAAGTACAGATTTGAGATGACCGAAAAGGACAATAGAGTAGATTTCAACGGATTGCAAGCGTTCTCTTGGAAGACCACGGAAAGGATGGGCCAACGTCACAGTAATCGAAACAGAATTCCATGATGGCTTCACTGGGCGGAAAAAAAAANAAAAAAAAACGAATGAAAGTTGTTCCGATCCCGCACCACCAGTGATGACGGTTCGTCAAGGTACGAAAGCGTTAAGTACCAAATGAGTTCTGACTATTCACTATTTTTCGATAGATACCTTTTTATCTAGCAGTGTAATTTCTCACGTATTTTCCTATATCATTCTTGGTAACACTATCACATCACATCTATAACGTAATGTGGGATACGCACAATGTACGGATCCTTGTGTGACACACAAACAAACTGAGGTATATTCACAATTGATTATACATAGTGTGCGCCACATACAAGGTACGGATGCATCAAAACATAAATGTCATCATGGACGATTTTTATGCCACAACAGGATGGTCGAGTGACTTTTCCAGTTCCAACTGCACAGTAGAAATGCAAGAACATTCCGAGGCATGGTGCTTTTGCGCCCATACGGCAAGGAGAGCGCCTTAGTTCGCACTCACTTGTTTATTTGCATTTTTTGGTTATGTCGTTCACACTGTTGGATTTCCTATAATATCCAGTATCAGTGAAAATATGTAAATCCTTTGAAATAATTTTGTATTAACGTGAGAATATTTGGAGACCAGGCATTCTGTTTCACATACTTACCCTAACATTGGGGTTGATTTTAATGTCACACTTTCTTCTTAAAGAGTACATTTTATACAGGTATTATTTCCGAAAAAATTCCAAGAAGTTCGATATCAACTAGATCAATCTTTTAACCCTTTCTATCTGCTACTGTGACGGTACAATTTCTTGAAATCAAGGCAAGCGATATGTTTATATTTTACTGAACACTACTTATGACTAATGTTCAGTATTTTAGACTTGCATAGACAGATATTTATTCATGCAAGAAGACTTTTTAAGTTCACACTGTTTCATCCATTTCTAAGGACAAGCGTCCCAACTTTTGCAAGATTGCAGCGTCTTCATCATCGTAAGCTTCCTCGTTTGGTGGGGATACTTTGCGCTCCAATTTCGCTTCATGAAGCTTGATGAAACATGACTGAAATGCTATGCTTGAACAAATCCAGTTGTATTTTCTTACAGAAAAAACTTACATCAGGTGTACGGACGGGGTTTGGTGTCGGTTCCCTTTTCACGCGCTTCCTAGATCCACGACTTTGTTCGGATAGCTTCTTGAAGGATTTCAAAATTTTTGTTTTTCTTTTGGAAAGAACACCATAGATAATGTAAAGGACCAAGTAAGAATATGTTAGTTAACACTTTTCTTACAGAGGAAACTTACATTAGATGCATTGAGCGCATCTGCACTCGGTTCCCCTTGCTCAGCGCCATGTTCGGATAGCCTCTAGAAGATTTTTAAACTTTTCGTTCTTCTTTTGTGAAGAACTCTATTGCTAGTAAAATGCGTAAAACCAGTTGAGAATATATTACCGTTTTTTTAGTTTTTTCAATCGTATATGGCTTGTACTTGGTATGAATGTGTCGACTAACGACAGAGCTTCTTCGCATGAATAGCTTCTGGAAAATTTTTAAACCTTTTGCCTTTCTTCAATAGAGAATCTTGTGGGTAATACGGGACAAAAGATCAGATAAGAATATGTTACCATGTTTCGGATTTTTTCAGCAGTATGTGGGTTCTGTTTCCTTTGAATGTGCTCATTAACGATTGTCTCTCTTCGCTTGAATCGCTTCTAGAAGATTTTTAAGTTTTTACCTTTCTACAATAGAAAATCATGTGGGTAATGCAGGACAAAAGATCAGGTGATGAATATGCTCCTATTTTGCGGACTTCTCTAGCGCTTAGCCAACGATTTGGAAAAAAAATAAAGGAAAGAGGATGTGAGGAGCCTTTAGCACAGCGTTTAGAGGTGTTGTGGAATAGACAGCACAAGCTCACGGATTCATCTTCGTGCTCGCCGAGCGTTAACTAACCTTGTGACGAGCATTGTTAGGTCAGTGCATACGGCAAATAAGCATTACATCAACTTTGCAGCCCTTGTACCGCTAGCAAGGCACTATAGTTGGCAGAGGTTTTATCGTGAATGAACTACGCTTAGTATCTCGTAACTACATGTTTTCGCACTACAAAGAATCTCTGATGGATTCCGCACGCATTCGACTTCATCGACGCATCGCAGAAGTGACTGCTTATCATTCCACAAACATTTGCCCTATATAATGAGTTTCAACAGTCTACCTATGTATCGAATTACTCTTTTTATCCTCTCAAACAGATTTGATGCCAATCCGCTGACATCGGAGAGTGGGAAGAGTTGGTAAACAAGGAACTCAGAATGCAAGTACTAGTCGATTCACCGATTCACTGCGTATTAAGCGAACCTTTAACCTCTTTGTTATATGTGGCCCCGCATAGTGAGAAAGCTTCTAATAACCGTGAAGCACTAGTCAAGTGCATAATCATTTCAGTACGCGGGAAATGATATCTGTTAAGCAAATCCTTCCTCGTTATACGGTCGCTACGTCACACCCACATGTGACCTGCCTTACATCTTTCGAAAACGATTGAAGAATTTTTGCTTCATCATGGAACTGAGCTAATTTCTTCAGTCAGTGGGTCAATCTACTCACCTTGCTTCCTAATTCCAAGCACTTTTCCGAAGGCATAACTTATGATCGACGTGATGGAACACCAATTTGCTTTGAACTAGGACGAAACCTAAAAATTACTCCCAGTTTATCTTACTATTCTGATTTTCGTTTGGTGAAGACTAAGCTGCATGAGTGAGAGTATCTAGGTGTTCTACATGGTATTTCGCTATGTGACCCTTGCGTAGCATACTCCCAGCGGTCCAAATACAGTACTACAACCTCTTCGTTAAAATTCAGAGGAAAAAAATGTGCATTTCCTGGACAAGCAACCGCCACGTAATACCCGTGTGCTCATAGCGTTACCATGTTGGACAACTGAAGCATGCTTATCGATTCGACATGTTAATAGATTGTGAGGTGGTCTTGAATATGACTCTTTTAACATTTAGCCAACTTTCGCAGGCATAGAAATACTGTATTTAACCATGAGAACGAATGCTACCACTCAGCACTAACCAAGTGAACATTATGCGACGTGAAGTGGCTAAGTGGTAACAACAACTTCTTGAGACAGAATGATTGAAGACGTCACTCGAAATGTCTACTGCCCACATTCGGCATGAATACTTTTAAAAGAAAAGCCTTAGCACTCACCACACTCCTTACTGAGTGGAGAAACAATGATGCTTACCTCGACATTAACATTCCAGTCATTGTGATACCCGTGATAGTTGCGATAGTCGTACCTGTGCCAAAGAATAAATTTTCACAAAAAACACGACTGATTAAGTGATTATTCACATTCACTATATGTGGAAAAGAAATTTGATTGATGTATGCGCACACCTATACCTGAGGTCCGGAGTTTTGCAAAATATCTCAGCATTTCATACGAGTTATATTTCGCAACATACCCTGCCATTAAAAAAAAGGCAGTAAATAAAAGGGTTAAGATTGTAGAGAGCACTATGTTTATCTTTGTGCTCACTGCTTATTATTTATTCATTTCTGGGTGTTACGTTAGATGCTGCGCTACCAACTGCACTATCAAAGACTCGGATTTCCTTTTTTCTCAGCGAGTTTTTGTACCATAACGGTGATATCAGCAATCATCCGCAAACGGAAATGGTCTGAATAGCCCAATTAAACTGAAGCTGTGGTCGAAATCGAAATGTTGTTTTTTTAACTGGTTTCAAGGTCGATCTGTGCTCCACAGATTATTTCCGTTGGCGAGTGATCCATAGCGCTGTTATGATAAAAAAAAAAGGTTGATTGAAGGACAAAGCAAAGGCCTCGATGGTGCAATGGATAAAACATAAGCCCCTGGAAATGCTAATCGTGGTTTCAAAGCTCAACTGGTGTTCTGAATATTGCTCATATGTTAACTGCAGATTGTTTAGCAATGTTCAGAAATATGTGACATCTGTAAATGCGCAATTTATGGGGCTAAATGGTGAAACTATATTCTCTGTGACAGAGTGAACCGTCAATAAAAAGTACATTAAATAAATATTATGTAGAATAACTTCCAGTCATGAATATATCTTGACCTGTGCAAAAATATTCTAATGTTGTGTCTGCGGCAGATAGAGAAAAGCAGACAGATGGAAGATTCGAACCGATGACTAACCCTTTCGGAGGCTCACGTGTTACCCACTGGACCACCGAGTCCCTTGCTTTAGCTTTCTCTTATCCAGTTTTTTACCGTACCGGTTCCACCAGCCATCACCTGTCAACAGGTGTGACCTGAGGAGCACAAACCGGCAGTGAATCCTATTAAGTTGAGCTGAGTATGATTCCTCATTCGAGCGATGCTCCACTTCACTGGATTCGACTCGATTCTGCAACGAACAACCACATCGCGAGGATGACCACCTGCAGACAATCGAGTACAATCATTCTTGCTCTGAAGAAGACAACGATATCGAAACGCTAGCACAATTAATCTTTTTTATCCCCAGTCAGGCTCGCGCTAACTTAATAATCGAAGAAGATTTCGATTATTTTTGCCGAGATTTAACGGAAGTCGGTTTTAAGACATTATTGACTAGTAATTTGAAGGGCCTTCCATCCATCCACTGTCCATTTCGTCAACTCATGCAAGATCTTTCCCCTCACATAGCTGTCCTCCGTTCTCGGCTGATGCGTCATAAGAAGATCATAATCATCAATTGCTACTCACAGATCGACATAGTTGATGAGCACGAATGAGATACGTTCTACTATCAGTTGGAGGAAGTTCTCCGCAATGATAAAATATATCATAAATTATTGCCGAGAACTTCAACGCCGGAATAGGAAAGGCCAACGAGAGCGAATACAGGATGGGAAATTTTGGATAAGGAGAAAGAAATGAGAATTGAAACCGCCTCGCAGGACTGTGGTTTACAGCACATCTCTTCTATGGAAACTCGCTTTTCCAGAAGAACGAAAGCCGCCACTGGACATGGGAGTCTCCTAACGGCACGACTCATGCCGAGATCGACCACGTTCTGACAAACAGAAGATGGCGCCTACTTGACACATCGGTAGTCCCGTCATTCTGTACTGGTTCCGATCACTGCTTTCTTCGTGTGAAGATTCGATTCAGCCGTAAGCTGGAGAAAATTCACTTAATCGATCACGAGGAAAAACTCTAGCTGTATACAACGAGAACATTCTGAACAAAGTCCTATGCAAACGTGACTGGCAGATTAAAGAAGACTCGACCGAATACTACGAGCTGCTTGTCGAAGGACTGAAAAGCTGTGCGAAATTCGCACCTCAGTTCCTTAAGTAGGAAGATCGCACTGCATTTCCATTACCACAAAGGAGTTGCTCGAACACGGAAAGAAACTGAAGCTTGATTCTACTACTACACGCTTAACAGAGCTAGTAATACGTGATAGCTGCAGAAGAGCTTTACAGAAAGATTTACATGGGAAAAGGCTAAAAAATTACTGGAAGCAACAGAGGAAAGATGCAGTCTGAAAAAAACGTCGTCAACACTTGTGTGATTTTAATGTTCTGCTGTCAGCACTGATGAACGAAGATGGAATCACCAAAACTTTTCACCATGATATGGAACTAATAAAGGAGAGGCTCTACACAAACCTTTTCCGTTCCACAAGCCCTGTCCCGAGCTCTAAAATCTCCGCTGGAGAAAAACCACCTGGAATTTTTCCATCGGAGGTTCGAGTTGCGATAGAAACATGAGAAAAAGCACAGCTCTACACCCGATAGTATCCCTGCCGACTTGCTAAGAGCCGTAAGTCACATGCAGTTCTCGCAGACCATATGAGAGCCTGTCTTCAAAGGGAAAAAANAAAAAACCCAAACCAATGGCGGACGTCGCGCACGGTCATCCTACCTAAGAAACGTAACCGAAGAGATCTTCGTAATTGTCGTCCGATATGCTTGTTGAGTGTACTGTACAAGCTCTTCAAGAAGATTATCATATCGCACATATCAAGGACATTGGATGAGACGCAACCAGTGGAGCAAGCTGGATTTCGACAAGGATTCTGCTCCATGGACCACATCAAAACTGTGTCCATGGTCACTAGAGTTTGTTGGGAATACCATCTGCCCTTAGTCCTAGCCTTTATCGACTATCAAAAAGCACTAGGTACTGCGGAAACGAGCGCAATCTTAACAGCGCTTGTCGACAAAACAGTGAACCCGTCCTACATAAGAACTCTGATTGATATCAGAACTGAACTACGAAAATACAGCTTTTCCATTGATCTCGCTCCAGCTCCATAGGAATAGGTGGTCGAAATGGCGACACAATATCGCCAAAACTGTCTAGTGCAGCACACTACAGTGGATAATGAAGTCACTCGATTGGAATGAGAAAGTAATATGTATTGTCTGAAAGTATCTATCAAACCTTCGTTTCGCCAACAACATCTTCATCTTCTCAAGAGGTACCAGCAAAGCAGAGACGATGATCAGTGAGTTCAACGAGGAGGGGAAAAAGATAAGACTACTCGTGAATCCGAAGAAGATCCAGTTCATGAAAAATCCACGATGCAAAGGCGAACAAACTAAACTGGATGGATATGTAATTGCAAAGACCACCTCGTACGTATACATTTTGGGATCAATGAACATGGAAAACAACATAAAGAAGGAATTAAACAGAAGGACGAGACCATCATGAACTACATTCGAGTCTCTCAAAGAAGCCACCGACAAAAGAACCCGAATATCCACACACGCATTTTCGATTAGACGGCCCTCCCAGCACTCCGTTACGCTGCACAGATGTGGGCTAATACTTCAACCACGTCAAGAATAATCCGCACTATTCAAAGAGCGCCTGANCGACGTCTTCTAAAGTATAACCGGCACTCTCAATATCTAGCCGGAATGCGAAGCTCTGACCTTCGAAATCTGTCACATCTTCGAGATCCAGGAGCAAATACATCGATAGCGAAACACAGATGGGCCGGCCGGTCACATAAAGAGAAGAACAAGCGACAGAATGACGAACAGAACCTTAGAGCGGACTACACGAGAATGGAGACGTTACCTGGAACGGCCACCTACATGGTGGGTGGAGGTGTTCGTAAGCAAAGCTAATCGGCTGTACTCGCAACTGCATTTGTTTTACAGATCACGGTATGAGACTTGCACGCACCACCATGCTCGAATAAAACCACCGCCATGGAGGATGCTTGCGAGCAAAAGAAACGAATGGCAAGCGTGTTGGAGTCCGCACAACTCGTGAAAACGGACCATCCAAGTATCTAGATAAGCCTCACATTTGCGTTATTAAACCGTTTACACACATAGTATTCACACGGTAATGCAATGAGAAAAGAAATGTGTATACAGCGAATGACAAGTAAAGTGGGCCAGCGGCAAAAGAAGTATAGCTAACAAATTTCACTAACAGTGATATCGATCATAGTGCAGCAAGTTTATAAGAGTATGAGGTACAATTAAGAAATACTGCTTATGTGACAATAATGTTATAACTACAACATCGCAAGTAATTACTTAAGAATGTAGTGGTGATGACAGGGCTGTCCTAGCAATGAGGAAAAAGATTCTGCGGAATATAGAGTACTTATAAACAGTGCAATCAT